CCTACAGAATGGGAGAAAATATTTGCAAACTATACATCTGACAAGGGGTTAATATCAAGAACATATAAGGAATTTAAACAACTGAATGGCAAAAAAGCAAATAACTGAATTGAAAAATGGACAAAGTATCTTAACAGATATTTCTCAAAAGAAGACATACAAATTGCCAATAGGCATGTGAAAAAATGCTCAACATCACTAAGCATTAGGGAAATGCAAATCAAAATAACAGTGAGATACCATCTCATACCAGTTAAAATGGCTATTATCAAAAGACAAAAGAAAAAAACTGTTGGCAAGGATGTGGGGAAAAGGGAACCACTCGCACACTGTTGGTGCGAGTATAAACTAGTACAGCCATTATGGAAAACAGTATGGAGGTTGCTCAAAAAATTAAAAATAGAACTCCATTTCATCCAGCAATCCCACTACTGGGTATACACCCAAAGGAAATGAAGTCAGTATGTTAAAGAGCTATCTGCATGCCCATGTTTATTGCAGCACAATTTAGGAAAGCCAAGATATGGAATCAGTGTAATTGTTCAATAATGGATGAATGGATTTTAGAAAATGTGATATATATACACAGCAGAATACTATTCAGCCATAAAAAAGAATGAAGCCCTGTAATTTGTGGCAACATGGATGGACTTGGAGAATGTTATGTTCAGTGAAGTAAACCAGGCACAGAAAGACAAATACCATATGACTTCACTCATTTGTGAAATCTAAAAAAAAAAAAAAAGTTGATATTATAGAGGCAGAGAGTAGAACAGTGGTTAACAGAGAGTGGGAAAGGATGGGGGAGGGGGACAGAAAACAGCAAGAGGTTGGCCAACAGGTACAAAGTTCAATTACATAGGAGGAATAAATTCTGATATTCTATTGCACAGTAGCATGACTCTTAAGTTTTGTATATTTCACAATATCTAGAGGAAAGGCTTTTGAATGTTTTTGCCACAAACAATAAATGCATGATGTGACTTATAACCTAACCCAATTATTATACAACATATATATGTATCAAAACATCAGATTATACCTCATAAGTATGTATAATCCCAATGTTCAAATTAAGATTAAAAAAGAAAATTTCTTGAAACAAATGATAGGAACACAACATACCAAAACCCATGGGATATAGATAGCCAAAGCAGTATTAAGAGAAAAGTTTATAGCAATAAATGCATACATCAAAAAATCAGAAAGATCTCAAGTAAACAATCTAACAATGCACCTCAAGCAACTAGTAAAACAAGAACAAACAAACAAAGTTTGAGGAAAAATAGAATTTAAAGATAATGCAAATATTTCCATGACTTTTTGAGGTATCCTCATATATACAATTATTATATGTCAATTAAGAAAAAATAAATCTAATAAAATAGAAAAAAAAAAACTTTTGTGTCATGCACAATGCCTAATCCCAAGCAGGCTTTCAATATTTGTCGAATGAATGACTTGTTTTAAATACTTAAATAATTTCATGGAACCTTTCTGAGATTTTATCTCCTTTTTCTCCTTCTTTGTCCTTATCTTTTTTTTTTTTTTTAATAAGATGAACCATGTAAAGAAATTCTGAGGGCAAGAAGAATGCTTCAACAGAAAATAGAAGAAGCAGGTACTCTAAAAGTTTCATGTGTTTGTAAAGGGTTATGGTCTTCTCATTCAGAAGCTGGAGAATATTAAACATTATATAATTTCTCCTACTTCAGATAGAACAGGTGAAAAGAAATATATGCAAGGAAGTCTAGCTCACCTCCCCCAGAAAGATTTATTCAAATAAATCCATTAGTTCATTTGGCACAGCCTTAATCTGAGGAAAATAGGTCTCTATTACTTCTGTCTCTAAAATCTAAAATATTAACTCATTTGTCACAAAGATTTCCTCTCTACAAATTTCATCTAACAACTAAAATGCTATTTTTCTATTTTATTCTGACAAAATCCGTGAATTAATTAACTTTGGGGTATACCTAGAAATCTATTTCTTCTATTTCATATTTTTAACAGTTAAAATCATTTTGGATTATTCTTTGGGAAATAAATCTAATGGGAATTATTTCTGAAAAAATATGTAAATATGATATGATAATTGCCCATGTTACAGTAGAAAGAGTTCAACTAATAATATAACAATTCCTTCCGTTTGTATGTGAGTTATTTTAATTCTAACTTTTATTCTAAGTTCTAATAATATGAAAAGAGACATTGATTAGTTTGAGCACTTACAATAAAGACTGATGCCACTAGTGAAGGTTACAAACCATGCCATATAAGAAATTATTGGAAAAATAGGATATTTAGCTTGAAGAAGGAGATACTTACACAGTGATGATAGCCATCTTCAAATATTTGAAGACTTTTTGGATGTTTAACTTATTTTTCTCAAAGGGTGCTGAACTTAAAATTCCAGTTTCAACAGTTAGTATTCATCTTAGTTGCAGGAAGCCTTTTAACCAGTTAGTGTGAATTGGAATGAACTGCCTGGTGAGATCACATTCTTGCCATTCCTAAAGTAGTTCCAGGGGGAGCTTGGTCAGTCAACCAGCCATTGTGGGGAGGCGGGGGTCATATGGCAGTAAAAACCAGGTATCCCTTGAGATTCTTTTAAGCCTGAGATGTTATGATTCTATGCACAATCAAGGGCATTCGTATTATTACCATTTCAGCTGCTAAATACAAACACACAGTAGTGAAGAAATGTTGTTTCGATGGAGCTCATCGTAATAATGATGAAACCTGTAAGCAGCGACTTGAACGGGTTACCATAGGCCCAATGTGCATCAGAGCTTTCAACGAATGTTGTGTCATCGCAACCGAGTTTCGTGCTGAAAATTCTCATAAAAAACTGCAACTGGGAAGGCTATGTAAGTGTAAAGTTTCGTATCAGAATTCTGCCCAATATGGGGAATTTTGTGTAATTCTATGCTGCTAAGGAAGGTAGTTACTGTGCTCTATTTACAATTGAAAGTAGAAAAGATAACTTGTAAATGTCCATGAGAAAAAAATCTGTTATCATTTCTTGGGAATCAGAAGAGGTATAGTATAGAGCAGAGTAAGCTAGTCCAGAGTTAAGACCTGGTATAAACTTAAAGCCAACACTTTCTGTAAACTTGAATGGTTATTTATCCTCTTTGAGTTTCAAACAAGAAGCTTGGACCAGGTGATCTCCAATATGCCTTTGAGTGCTAAAAATCTATGGTTCTGTGATATTACAACCATTAAAAATTCTGTTTATACCTACGCTAATCAAATATAGCAAAAGATTTCTAAGTCTAGCATAAGGTTGTATATTTATATAAAAGTTGAAATCTTATTTCAGTTTCAACCACAGTATACATAGAATTTATAGAACTCTCATTAATACATTTTCAGAACTTTTAGAACTTTCATTTCTATACCAGGATAGTCTTTAACAACACAAATTAACACAGAATGACAACTCCTGTTTTATATAGTCATGTGTGGCATAACAACCTTTTGGCCAACAACGGACCACATATACCAGGTGGTACCATAAGATTATACCATATTTTTACTGTACCTTTTCTATGTTTAGATGTGTTTATTACAACACGTATATCTAATAATATGATTTTGGTAAATGGCCACGAAATTTGTGTTTGTAGAAACATGTCCATTGAGATGGACAATGTTTAAGATACACTGTTAAGCAAAACAGAGTACAGTATTTAGATTGTTTTCCAATTTTTGTTTATTACAAGCAACTTTCTAATGAACACTCTAGGACATATTTTTTTCACTTCCCAGTTTTTCAACTATAATCATCTGGCTTAGTTTCAGCTGCATGGAACTCCCTTCTCCCTGGCACTCTGCCCCTCATTCTAGATGCTTGGCCTCCCAAAACTCCGATCTGTGTTGCCACAAATCTTCCAGACCACCAGGCTCTGCTTGGGTTTCTCTTCCTGGCCTAGCCTGTAAACTGTCTCCAGGCAGTAAGCTGGGACAATTTTAGGGTTCACTTAATCTATTTTCCTTCTCCCAGGGACCACAGTCCTGTGCTGCTTGAAATGTCTGAAAACTGTTGTTTTATGTATTGTGTCTGGTTTTTCTATGTTTATAAGACAAAAGAAATTCAGTTTCTATTAGTGCATCTTGGATGGAAGTAGAAGTTCTGCCCATTTTTTAAAAGAAGTAAATATAAATTACTAAATCATGGCAGAGAATCACATAAAACCTTCCTATTTTCTAATATAAACACAATTATTACAATTACAGAAGCACAAAAGAAATTCAGTTTCTATTAGTGCATCTTGGATGGAAGTAGAAGTTCTGCCCATTTTTTTAAAAGTAAATATAAATTACTAAATCATGGCAGAGAATCACATAAAACCTTTCTATTTTCTAATATAAACACAATTATTACAATTACAGAAGCGCAAATAACTTTACAGACCGACCGGTATCTTGTATAATCTTAGAAATAAAATAACTTTACAGACCGACCGGTATCTTGTATAATCTTAGAAATACTAAACATTTAACAATTTAAGAAACAAATCATTAAAAATACTTTAACGCTTTGTTTTGTCAATGCTGTTAGTGGAGAAATACTAAGGCTTTTATAGTTCTCTTGCGAAATCACTAAACAAAATGTTTTATTAGCATTTCAAAAAAATGCTTAAGTTTGAGATTAATGGTCATATTTTAAAATTTGGCTATACGTAGTAGAATTTATATTGTTTTTCCACAACTGAATATGCTTTTTTTTGCCCAGATACAAAGACCGTGTTACCAGTAAGCAAGCCAGAAATTCGTAGCTATTTTCCAGAAAGCTGGTTGTGGGAAGTTCATCATGTTCCCAAAAGGTATTATACTTCTTTCATGTTCCTCTAAAGGAAATGTGGATAATGCAAGTACTATGGCCAAAAATATGGAAACCACCCATTTCTCAATGGTTTATTTAAGAATTAAGATGGTACTATTATTTGGTCAAATTTTGTTTTGTTTTGCTTCTCTCTCTCTCTCTCTCTCTCTCTCTTTTTAAATGTACTTTGCTTTGGTATTTGGCTCCATGGCAGGATTAACTATTGGTGGAAAGGATACTATTCCACATAATTTCATTTCACTTAAGTACACATTTACTGCACACAACTATGTGCTATCCACCATATTGAGTAGCTTCATCTTAAAATATCTGTAGTATAAAACAAACTTTGGTAAACAAGAAGAAAAGTTCTTTTCTTGTTAAGGTCCTTTATTCATCTCACTTTTATGGAATGCCTCCTCTGTACCAGGCACTGAAAACAGTTAATGAGCAGCACTGAGTCACCAAGCCTCTCTCTTCCTAGGTGAGCCCAAAGCACTGGCTTTCCAATGAGAAATCAAGGCCCTGGCTCCAGAGCTCTCCTCAGTGGTCTCCTTGTCCTTACCCTGTCCCCTCTAATTTTTTCTCCACACTGTTGTCCATTTCATCTGACATTGCCCTTAGCTAGCACTTTCTCTGGCAAACCTTCCTATCACTATCCCCCACCCACCAGTGATTGAATTAATTGCCTCTCCCAATTAACCCTGTTGCATGTGTAATGTATAATATTGTATAATGTATAATGTTGTGGTATAATGGCCTGTTGACTTGCCTGCCTTCCACATTAAAATGTAAATACCTCTAGGGCAAGGACTAAATCTAGATTACTGAATTTAGGACCTGGCATATGATTCAGCTTGTACAGACACGAAAATAAACGTGTTAAATGAATGTATACTGTCTCTGCACTCTTTTAATGCCTTATTGGCTCAGTTATTACAATAAGTGCAATTTATTTACATAACTATTCCTTCCACTAGACTGTAAGGTGCTTGAGAGCAGGACTATATCTTGTAAGTGCTGTGTACTCAGTATTTGGCATTATGTCTGACACAAAGTTGGTCGACAACATCTGTAAATAAATATACAAGATTAATCGTAATCAGAAATCTTTAGTTAAGTAACTGTTATGAGCAGTATTAAGATGCATTATTTTGCCTCTCTGTTTTAAAACATAACATATTCACGATGAACATAATTTTTCTTTGCTTCTCTATTTTAGAACATATTCATGATGAACATAATTTTCTCTTTGTTTTGTATGCTTTGATTTTGCAATGTTTCAAAGGCATCCTTCTGAACTTGAATTCTCATCCTGCAAGTGCAATGTTTAAAATCATGGAATATGCGAGAGAGTTACTGAACATATTTTTCTTGAAGAGTTTTTCCTTAATACTTGATATGTTTTTATCTTGTAATTTGTTTTTCCTTCTTCTAAAGTAGTATGAAGCAAAAATTTTGTTAATGGGTGCCTCTGTCAAGTTGGGTTAATTGATGTCCCACTGTATTTGGATTTCTATATTTTAACTTACAGAAGCCAGTTGCAGTTTGCACTACCTGATTCTCTAACTACCTGGGAAATTCAAGGTGTTGGCATTTCAAATAGTGGTAAGCAAACTTAAGTTATATACTCATATAAGGAATGAATTGATTAGAAGATGTAGTCCTTTGTTACTTTTGTTTAGTTTACCCAGTACTTAAGGGGTGACATTTTTTAAAATATTATTTTTTATACGTTACCAAAAGACTTGGATATACTCACATCTTTGAACATATTGATTTCTTCTTTTGTTCTTCTGTTAGCTGTCATTTTATAGATGCTGGCGTCAAGTCCCTGTTTCTCTTTGCTTTTCTCGGTGACAGTGACAGGGAACTTGAATAAAGTTAGAAACAAACACGTGACTTCCCTTTTGGGCTGTTGCCCCTTTGTGGTGACTAAGTACAAACATTCTATATGTAACTTCACGGTTGGTTTTATTTGTGTATTTGCTATTTTAATTTTCACAAAAATCTTTGTGTCTACAATCAAAATGTTATACCCATTAAACGGAGCCAATAATGAATATCTTTTTTAAAAATTCAGTGCTTTAGTTGCTAAATATTCTCATGCCTTAGATAGAATTAAATATTTGTTGAACAGATGAAGTTTTCTGTGACCACCAATAATTATTGAAATAAAGATCAATGAGTAGAAAATTCAAGGACATGGGGTGATAATACAGAAAAAAAACATGAGCTAATATTCTTTTTTCCTTGAAATAAAGCAAATATGAGACATTTTAGTACTAAATGAGGCATTGTAGGAATTCCCTAATATGCTTCTACTTTGCTTCCACCTTGGGCTGAAGGAATATGTGTTGCTGATCTTCTCAAGGCAAAGGTGTTCAAAGACGTCTTCCTGGAAATGAATATACCATATTCTGTTGTACGAGGGGAACAGATCCAGTTAAAAGGAACTGTTTATAACTATAGGACTTCTGGGACACTGGTAAGTAGGTATTTATGGTATGTTAGAAGAAAGGGAGAAAAGGAGACAATTTCTGGTTTTCTGAGAATGTTTTTAATGAAATTATCACACACATACAAAAATAAAAAGTCAGTTCAGTTCAACAATATAAACCAAGCACTTAACGATGTGTACTATAGTAGATGTGCAGCTTAATAAGTGAAGGGGGAAGAAAGGAGGGGTTGAGACAAGTATTCATGTAATTCTAATTTAAAGAAGAATAAAGTGCATGAGATAATCAATAGGTTGTGAAGGCTCAGAGAAGGATGAGCTCACGTTTAGTTCATTTGTCACCCTGGACTCTGAGTTCCTTGATCTCCTCAACTTTCCTGTATTTTAGCCATTCATGTTCATCTTCATTTTGTAGATCTTGTCATCTTCTCTGAAAACTTGATTTCAAACATCTCAGGATCCAATTACAACCTCCTTTCTATCCCCCTAACTCATTAAACCCATCACTTCCATAGCTACAGCTCAGCAGCATCATTGAAACCTCCAATCCATTGGCTCAACCACTTATTTATTATCCATTAGCCCTCTGCTATTTTTATTTTACTTCTTGTTAAGGTTAGAATTCATAAACCATCATTACAACCACACTGATTAAACTCATGTCAACTCCCTTGATCTTCTCTTGGCCCCAGGTACAATGCATGAAAAACTCCAACTATGATTGGACCCACCATTTATCTTCTTTGTCAGCACACTTCTAAAGATAATTTTACAGTAGGCTGACGGATTTCACATGAATATCACAATCATAAAACTTTATGTGGGAACTCGATGTGGTCCAGAAATCTAACTATACTTTTTAAAAGCTCTAATTTTATTCTTGAGATGAGTATTTCAGTGGCTTCCAAAAAATTTGCTTGTATACCCTCAAGAATGTTTTTGAAAAACCATGTATTTCATTGACCCATTTTTAACTTGGCATCTGTATTAGTCTGTTTTCTGTCAGTTATAACAGAATACCTGACACCGGGTGATTTATAAAGAAATGAAATTTATTTCTTACATATTTGGAGGCTGGGAAGTCCAAGATCCAGGGGGCGCATCTGGTTAGGGCCTTCTTCTTGGTGGGGACTCTGTACAGAGTCCCATAGCAACACAGGGTATCACCTCATGAGAATGGCAAGAATGTTTTCATGTGCTGCCCTTAAGAAGTCACCAGTCCACACACATAATGGCCCATTACTGCATGAATGGATTGATCCATTCATGACAGCATAGTCCTCATGATCCAATCCCCTCTTAAAGGCCCCACCTTTCAGCACTGCTATGTTGGGAATCAAGCTCCCACATGATCTTGGGGGGACATTCAAACCATAGCAGCATTTAAAATTTTTTATCATAAGTTGAGAAAAACATGCCAATCTATAGCCTTTGGAATATTTAAATATTGCTCTTTTAAAATAAAAATGTTATATCAAACTTTTAAATGTATATAATAGAATCTAAATACCGCATCAATCCACTTTTAAAATACTCAAATAAGCTCTTAACAACAGATTACATCAGGAGTACTTCCATAAGTTTATGGAAAGATTTGTGTTATTTTTTAATTCTATTTTTCCACAAACTTTTTGAAGTACCCTTGTGTATCATTCTTTTTTCTCTATGAACTCATATTTCCATTCCACTCCCCTAATGTTATATATTTTATGCTTGAATTTTTTCTGCTGATTACCCTATCATATTTTTTTTTTCCTTTTTTTTTTTTTTTTTTTTTTTTT